CCTGTAGAACTAGATCCTGTAGAACTAGATCCTGTAGAACTAGATCCTGTAGAACTAGCTCCTGTAGAACCGCCATAGAACCACTGTAGAACTAGCTCCTGTAGAACTAGATCCTGTAGAGTCAGAACCGTTCTGATCTGCGTGTCTCTGACAGGATGTACGTGTTCGGAGGATGGGTCCCTCTGCTGGGGGACGACATCAAGATGGGGACGCATGAGAAGGAGTGGAAGTGCACCAACAATCTGGCCTGCCTCAACCTCGGTACGCGTCCAGAAACACAGAGACGCACCGGCGATCGCAGAACCCGTCCCCCCCTAACCCGTGTGTGTTTGTGTGTAGAGACGATGAGCTGGGAGACGGTTCTGATGGACGGAGATGAGGAGAACCTGCCCAGAGCTCGGGCCGGTCACTGCAGCGTGGCCATCAACTCCAGACTCTACATCTGGAGCGGCCGGGACGGGTACCGGAAGGCCTGGAACAACCAGGTCTGCTGCAAAGACCTGTGGTACCTGGAGACAGGTGAGGACAGACTGACAGCTGGTCCAGTCGATTGATTTTTACTCTTTTGTTTTGACCGCTAAAACCACTCCCCCAAAACAATTCCTACTGTCCCAACCTGTCCCCCCTCCCCTCAGAGTGTCCAGTGGCGCCGTCCCGGGTGCAGCTGGTCCGGGCCAACACCACGTCCCTGGAGGTGAGCTGGGGTCCGTCTAAGACCGCAGACACGTACCTCCTGCAGCTGCAGAGGTACGACATTCCAGCCGGCCCCGCCCCCGGTGCCGCCCCTCCTTCCCTGGCTCCACCCAGCCAGGCCGTCCCGGCGCCGGGTTCTACTCCTGGAAGCCCGTCGGCGGCAGACGCCAAAGGTCCGGGTAGGTTCTCCTATGGGGGGGCGATGTGAGGAAATGCTTTTTTCTCACCTGGTGTTTGTGTTTCTGCAGCGGTCCTGAGGTTGGCAGCAGCTCCGAGTGCGGCAGGGGGGGGCGTCAGACTGGCCGCGCCAAAAACCCCTGTAACCATGGCAACACTTCCTGCTGGTGTCCGTGTGGCGGTTCCTGCTCAGCCCAGTCAGGCGGTAAGGACGCCGCTCAGAAACATGGAAGAAAACGAATCATTTACTTCTAGTTAATAATTGATTAATTGTTTATTAGATTAAATTTGTCCATCTAATTAAATGATAACTTACGATTAAAAGTTATGTCACCAGAGGGCGCCGCTGTTCACCGCTACCGCTAAGCGGAGTCTCACTGGTATTAGGATTAGAAGTAATGGAGCCGCTAAAGCAGAACAATAATTAGATCCAGAATCTGATTATTTATATGTTTTCAAATTATCTTGATTTGGGAAACAAGGTAAAATATGTTACATCATTAATTTAACACGAAAATAAATATCCAACCACTCTATAAGAAATTTGTAAATTTTTAGCAGCAATGATTTATTAATAAAAAAATCACAATAATAAGGATATCACCAGTTATTTGGAATAAACGGATCAATAACCAAAAACTATTTATTAGTTAGACTCAAAACACTCAATTTAAATGTGCAAAAAAAACCTAATAACTGAAAGTCCAAAGCTGCCCGTTCTTTTTGTTTTTAATAATAATGTCCACAAAGACGTTCCATATCCTCCCAACTCAAAACAAAGTCCTGGAAATGTTCCTCCGTTTGCGTCCAAACTGTTCCATAAAAAATAAGAAAAAAAAAAGATGCCACCAAAAATCCCCAAAAAGAAAAATCAGATCCCACCGGGAGCGTCTCTCTTTCCCCTCTGCGGCGTCTTCTTGCACCGGGCGACGTCCTCTGGGTGCGAACGCCGACCGGGGTTCTAAATGGCCGTTCTGCTGCGCTGGGACAAAATTTGATTGCTGTTTTATCTCTTTTCTTTTTAAAGAGTTTTAAACATTCAGCCAAACCAAAATCTCCAGCTGCACAGATCTGACAGTTTGCGTCTTCCTCTCCGCTAAAGCCTCGCACGCCGACGCACACGCCACTTTCTATTCACTAATTTACTCCACACCAAAAAAAAAAAATAATATTATATGAATCATATAATATTAATGAACTTTTGTTCTACCCAATAATTAGTTACCTGTAGACTTTAATGTATTTATACAAGAAAAGAAAACAACATAGTGGTTAATATATCACATTAACATTGATTTATTTATTGTTTCAGAGTAACTTCTACTTTCTTCTATCATCTCAGAGTTCTACCAGAACTAAGGATGTAAACAAATAGTTGAGTTACGATAAATTATGAATTAAAGGTTGATTAGATTCAAATGGGTTCCCTCTGATTGATAACATCGACTTTTATGTTACAGCGGTCCACCAGAGGGCGCCATTGTTCAATGTTTATCAGATTCTCCTTGGTATTTACAATAGAAGTAATGTCAGAGCAGAACCATTGATGGATCCAGAGTCCGGTCCAGATTATTTCCTCCTTAATGGATCCAAGGATCCAGGATGAACTTCCTGTGGTTCTATTAGTGAATCTAAACTCTGATGAACTCCTTCAGTTCTCCTAAATGGGTCCATTTAGCGGCGCTGATGGAGGAGCAGCAGAACTTCTCTGCTGGATCAGAAGGAGACAATGAGAGAAAAATGGAAACAATTAGAACAGGATAAAAGACAAGCTAGCAGTTAGCATGTTAGCTGGAGAAGCTTGATGAGGTCATGACCTTCATGGAGACAAGTTCTAACGCTACGTTCAGATCGCACGCAGCAGGAGCAGCAAAAACGCGCGTTCTGCTTCATTTTAGATGCTTCTACAAGTTTAGATCTGACGCGCGGCTGAAGCATCTCTGCTGCTCCAGCTGCGCGGTGGTAAAGTGGATCTGATGCGCAGTGGGCGGAGCTACTCTATCCTTTCTCTGCCTGGAACAATGGCAGCTATATTAGCAGTGATTAGCGGGTAGAAAGTAGTTAGAATCTATGTTGAAGTGAGAAAGTCCTCCTGAAAACATGGTCTGTGCAGTCAGTTCATCCAGATTACCATCCTGCCTTCAAAGATTATTTCTCTGTGGGAGCTGCAGGACCTTTTCCTGCACCTTGATGCGCATCAACCAATAACTTTGCATGGAAACCTGCTGCTTCTGCTGCTTGGGGTCTGAAAGTAGGACAACATTCCTCTGAGGAACCAGAACCAGAACCAGCTGTTTAAAATCTCTGCTAACAGAACAAAGTCTCTCCCAGCTCTGATTGGTGGATGAAACTAAAAACAGAAAGCTAAATCAGATTTTATTCATCTTTTTTTTAGTAATCTAACAGTATTTACAGCATTTAATGCAGCAACATAATGATGTTTTTTTTAGATTAACTCGTTCATGTTAAGGATGAAAATTAAACTTATTGAAACTTAAAAAGAGATGGATTTAAAAAACAAAGATGGAGTTGGTAAAGTTTAGATTTTGGGCAAATGCTTTATCTCTTAATGTCAGGAAATCTCCCGATGCTGTGTTTCCATGGTAACTCCTGCTTTCGTCTTCTTTCAGGCGATAGGTAGCGGCCCTCAGATGAGTGGCATGGCGGCGCTGGCGGCGGCGGCAGCAGTGACTCAGAAGATCCCTCCGTCCACGGCGCCGGTCCTCGGCCTACCAGCAGGGGGCGGCGCGGTGAAGATTGTGAGTCTGGAACCGGTTACCATGGTGGCGATGAGATCGGAGCTCATGGGTGATCGCCTCCTCGCTTCCGTTTCAGGTGAACAACTCGGCAGCGCGTCTCCTGAAGACGGCCGCCGCTCAGGTGGGCGGGGCTTCAGTGGCGTCCGCTGCGGGGACTCCCAACCGGCCAATCATCACGGTGCATAAGTCGGGCTCGGTGACGGTCTCCCCACAGCCTCAGGTGGTCACTACAGTGGTGGGCGGAGTCACAAAGACCATCACCATTGTCAACAGTCCCATCAGCCTGGGAGGAGGCGGAGCCTTGGTGAGTGATGTCACACAGGTGCTGTTTCTCAATTCACTAGAAGTACGGACTCGTGTCCTCGCCAAGTCTGTTCTAGAGGAGAACCCAGGAAAGTCTGGACTCTGGGAGAACCGGAGCAGAATTAATCTGGATCAATTAGAACAGCAGCGTACTGATGACATCATCACATTCAAAGCTAGTCTGGAGACGCATTTCTCCTCCTGTTATTAATAGTCTCTGGATGATAATAAATTATGACTTTTTTTATTTAGTGGAGGAATAATAATGAACACAGTCAGATAAACGCAAATCTAATGAACAGATTAACAATAAACAGAGTAAAAGTAGAGTAAAATACCGATCATCGGCACCAGAACCCATCAGAACATTCTGATTGGACAGAACAGTTCTGTGTTCGGTGGACGATCCTTTCTGGGTTCTGAGACTCTGTTGTTCTTGCATGTTCTCTGCTGTCTCTGAGAACATGCAATCAGGCTCTGCAATCAGGAGAACCTGCTGGGTCTCAAACCTCTGCTCCTCTTTCAGATCGGTAACCTTGGAAACCTGGGGAAGGTGGTGTCGATGGTCCAGACCAGGACGGTCCAGAGCGGAGCGGTTACAGGTCAGGCTGGGAGCAGCCCGGTCTCTCAGATCCTTCAGGTACGAACCAGGTCCTGAACTGAGCTGACCCGAAACGGGTCACCGAGACGGACAGGAAGTGACATCATGATGCTATTGCCAGGCAACAGAAACAAAGCCAAACAAAATAAGTCTCACCCCAAAATCCCTCATCCTCTGTATCCGCCCCGCAGCGCTCAGACCGCCTGCGCAAAGCAAAGCATCTCCCATCCTGCTCCGCTCCCACTTCCTCAGAGCTGCAGGACAGCATGCGCCATATTAGCATTAAATTCACAGGAGGAAATGAGCGCTTCATATATTATGACATAATGTCGTTTCTGCCTTAATATTTTCTTTCTGTTGAGGATTTTTGTTACAGTGATAACTAGGATCATCCATAGTTTCAGGGTTTCTACAGCAATGAGTGACTCTGTTTTAATGCTCTTATAAATCATTTTAATGCCATAAACAACTACCCGTTATTCCCATATATGTATATATATTAGTGGTGGGTCGTTATCGGCGTTAACGCCAGAATCTTATCGCGCCATAAACAAAATAATGCCATTAATCTATTAGATCTATACAGATTGGAAGCTGAGTCTATACTGATGACGACTCCCTCCTTCATATTGTCGCGCGTTTGACAGCAAGTTACTCATGATGTAACCAACGGCGACGCCGTTTGTTTATGCAACACATAATTCAGGCTGCGCTTGTTCCCTTACATCCAACTGATTAAAGTCAGTCCAAAGTTCACACTTACAGCTGCAACCTCCAGAACACGATGTTAGCTTAGCATATGCAGGCTACCAACATAAACAACCATCTTTAACACAGAACTAGCATAACATGGTGATGTTTTACCCAGCAGCCCTTGCTGCTGCTCCAGCCTAACAGGAAATAACAATGACTGCCTGAGTGACGGGTGGATAAAGGAGAAATAGTTTGGACCGACCCAGATCTACTGATTGTTCATCATGAACTAACTGACTGATTAACTTTCAAAGTTCAGAATTCAGGTTTATCTGAATAAACATTTATTAAACACAAATATTTCTTATTTAGTATATTTATTTTCATCACCAGCTCCTTCCCTAATTCACCAGCTGGCCTGATAAACCTGTTCAAAGACTTTTTTTTCCTTATCTTATTTGATTCTTATATCTTATTTTTCTCTCTTCTGTAAATGATCGCACTGCCAGAACAAAAAATTAGCAAGGGATTAATAAAGTAATTCTGATTTATAAAATTCAAATTAGCCATTTTAATCTAGATTAATCTAGATTAATTCCAAGATCACAGTGGGATTAATCTAGATAAAAAATGTAATCTATGCCACCGCTAACACGGCTTTACGGAACCGGAAATATATTGCGATTTAAAATATCTGATGAAATTTTTTTGCTAAACATTTTTTGTTGTTTTTTAAATAAAGCCTTTTAAATGCCACAATATTCAGATTCAATTAACTTTAATGCCAATTAAGGCCTCAGTTTAAAAAATACTAATTAAATGATTTTTAATGACCTGCGGAAACCCTGTGATTGGGTGAATTTTTTTGTTCTCGACTAGGCTTGTCCCGATCCGATAAATGGATCGGATCGGGACGCCGATATTGGCAAAAGAATGCGTATCGGCAAAGAATGTAAAAATGCCGATCCAGACTGCCGATCCAGTTTA